CTCACGTGTGCGTGCGGGAGCCGCCAACGGCGATTGGTAGATGGTACCACCATCGCGAGTGCGCGAGCTCCTATCAGAAATTCGTTGCGCCGCCCTTGGGGGCAAAAAACGGTGAAAGCTAACGTTCGAAACCAGACGGCAGCACCGGTTGCGATCGCACCATCCTGCCCGTAAGCAATCTCCCAACTCATCTCTGCTCATCTCTGCTCCCAACTCATCTCTGTGAGTTACTGCTCACGAGCAGAATCGTGTATGACGTGTTGTGCTGCTCTTTGTGGAGAACGCAGGCGTCTCGTGCACTTGCCGCGTGACAGTTCCCAGTGGCGGCCCAACTCAGAGATGAGTTGGATCCCTGAGTATTTCCATTGAATGATCACAAAAATAGGGATTTTCGAACGAGGTGACGAGAAAGGGACACCTGAGAGGTTAATCATGCGTACAGTTTTCTCGAAAATGTAAAGAATTGTTCGATTTTTTATCACGTAAATATAGAGGCTCTAAGGGAGATCTGGCGTCTATTAAATTTGACTTTTATGAAGAAACTCAAAAATTGGAACATATAAAGGTGTGTGAGGAACTGCCTTTGCGCATTACTGGGTAGGCCTCTACACAAGACCAACCACGCGTTCGGAGCGGCGCGGCAGCACTGCCCTCTACTTCACTTCGCATTACTTCGCATCGACCATTTACCGTCACGTTGTAGGAATTTCAAATAAATTTATTTAACCGGAGCGTAAATAAAAGAAGTTTCAACAGTGAAATCACTATGCCTGTTTTACAAAGAGTCGTGTGAGTATCAAGTAATCATATGTCACCAACAAGTTATCCGGAAATAATAGTATGACATAACCTGCTTTTATTTGTTGTTTAAAATCATTGCACTTTTTTGTAATGACAATAAATATTGAATTGGTGTGGTCTATGAATATTAGTATTTATATATCTGATTATAATTGTGACATAATAGTGACGTGTGAACAATGTAAAAATATCTGTATCTTATTAACAGAAAACCTACGACACATAAAGGAAAGAAGGCGATCTTGAAGAAAGAACCAAAGTTAATAGAAGATAATAAACAGACTTTATGCATTAAAGGGAAAATTACCAGTCAACTGGTTAATGACTGTATGAAAGATTTGGTAAGAATCGTTTGATGTAAAAATTAATTTTGTTAGTATAAGAAATAATTTATATCGAAAGCATTGAACCGAAAAGTTAAATCTATGTCGAGTTAGTTATTTATGATTATCCTCATATTTTTATTATTAGTACCATATCAAGAAGCCAGACGTACAGATGATGCAAAAGAAAAATGATATTCTTCCCTTCGAAGATGTGACTCCAATTGAACGTTTTTCTTCAAAATTGAATTCGCCTCTTTTTATATTTACGTCACACAATAAGAAACGTCCTCACAATTTAATAATGGGTAGAATGTTTGAACACGTGTTATTGGATATGGTAGAATTTGGAGTCGAGAACTACAAAGGTTTGAAGGAATTTAAGGTAGAGAAGATAGCTACTGGAATGAAGCCTATGTTAGTGTTCAATGGAGAATTGTTTGACAGCAATTCAGAATATGGAAGAATTAAAAATCTATTAGTAGACATGTTTCACAGAGATGTTGTCGAAAAGGTTAGACTACAAGGATTAGAACATGTCTTAAGCTTTACAGCGATGCAAGATAAAATTCTTGTTCGGAGTTACAGGTATTCTCATTAGTTAATGTTACATTAAAAACATTTGAAAGTATTTAGTTTTGATGCCTACAAATGTTATTTGGATACTTATATATATTTTTTTTTTAAATTGATATTCCCAATATTTTTTTAGGACATTATTAAAAAAATCTGGTACTAGAATACCGAGGATAGAATTGGAAGAAATTGGGCCACGATTTGATCTTTCTATACGACGTTTGAAGCTAGGTTCAGAAGATCTCTTCAAACAAGCTTGCAAAAAACCTAAAGAGCTAAAGGTAATTTATATGTTTGCTCGACTGTAATTTTTACTAGTTACTCATGATTTATTTTTATAGGTGAAGAAAAAGAAAAATATATCAAAGGATTCTCTTGGGTCTGTATTGGGGCGTGTACATATGGGAGCACAAAAAATAAACAGTATACAAACTAGAAAGATGAAGGGATTAAAGAAATCTCTTACAGAAAGAAAGGCTGAAAGAAAAAGAAAAAGTATGGGTGATGATAATGAAACTAAAAAAAGAATAAAACGTAGTCAAGATGTCCATGTATAATTAAATCATATGTGAAATAAAAGTATTATATATTATTTACTGAAATATTATATTTATAAATCACCTACAGCCACTTACTCCTTCATAGACCATGTTGATGACTGTTTATGATCCTGCAAAATTTAAACAATGGAATCTCACAATGAACTTCTAACAAATTTGAAATAGAATGTGTAGAAATTTCTAAATTGATATGACATTATCAATTATTAAATACATACTTTTATCTCAATTCCACGAATGGCTAATATGGATCGAATCTCATCACAGGAATTCAATAAATATTTGTCTTTGACATCTGCTTCCAGAGCTTTTTGTCGTAGAGAATTTCTAAAGTGCACAATGTCATCAACTAAATGTAACATTTTTTGATTATCTGTCACTTCACGTTTGGAAGTATGCAATCCAAACTTGCATAGAGTTGATGTTACATAATTAGAAACTGCAGCAACGGATACAGGATTTCTTGAACTTACAGTATTCTAAATAAAAAGACGTTAGTTATCAAGTCTTTTTATACTTAACAGAAATCATAATAAAAATATGTTATTGGAAAGCAAACCTGAGATTGATGGATCATTTTGTTTCCAACTTTAATTAGATTTAAAATTTCTTGTATTGCTTTTGGAGTATCAAAGTCATCAACTAGCGCAGCATCAATGTTTTCTCTGGCATTACTTAAACACTGAATACATTTATCATATAATTTAATTTCATTAATGATAAAGAAATGAAAAATAATGAATGACATACCAACAATAATGAAGGTTCATCTATGTTTCCAGTATTTAGTTTACCACTAACATAATTCTTGCAATCATCTATAAATGATTCCATCTTCTTGAGTGTTGAAATAACCAGTTCCATAGATTCATGTGAATATTCAATTCCTGTTAAAAACTTAAGTTAAATATTTTCTAATAAAATAGTTAAAATTTAAACATCTATGAAGATACTCAGCAAGTTCAGGTACCTTTCCTGTAGTGCGACATTAAACAACATAATCGGAATTGATCAGCAGAATATTGAGTCAAGAATTCTTGTATACTAATGGTATTATGTAAACTCTTAGACATTTTTACGTCTTCTTTTAAACGTAAGTGTCCAGTATGCAACCAGTAATTTACCCACTGGTCCACGTTATGGTAGCTGCACGATTGAATCTCCTCATTTTCATGATGTGGAAAAGCCAAGTCTATTCCACCACTATGAAGATCTATGGTACTTCCTAAAACAGTACTAATGGATAAAAAAGGTTTTTACTACTGGACCATTTTTAGCTAATTTTTAAAATGGGGTCTATTTCTTAAAGATACAAGTATTACCTAGCTATAGTACTACACTCTATGTGCCATCCTGGTCTGCCGTAACCCCATGGAGATTTCCAAGACGGTTCGCCTTCTTTCCGTGCTTTCCATAAAACAAAATCTGACGCAGTTTTTACATCAGAATGAGAAGTTAATTCTTTGAATGGTAACTTATTTGCAGCGGCATATTTTGCACTATCAAAATGTACAGAGCCTACAAATGTAATTGCACAATAAGTATTTTAATTTGTTAATTATTTGTAACTATTAAATGTAAGATTTTAGGTCTTACCATCCTTGGTTACATAAGCATATTCTTTAGATAAAATGTTATTGACAAATTGAACGATTTCAGGAATATATTCTGTAACTCTACAGCGTAGGTACGGCTTGGAAACATTTAATGATGTCATATCACAGAAAAATTCCTCTTCATAAAAATTTGCTAATTCTTTCCAATTCTGCTTTGATTGTTGAGAACGAGCAATAATTTTATCATCAATGTCTGTTACTCCAATCACACATATTATGTCAGCATCTAAGTAATTATTTAGTATACGCTGAATAATATCGAATCTGACATAAGTACTATAAAAAAAAAAACAAGAACATACAAATTCAATTATTGGGTACTTATTTTATTAAAAATACACAGATGAAATGATAACATTTTTATATAAAACACATTTGCAATATAATTTTGCTTGTAGTTAAAGAAATTGTACATTTACGTTAAAAAAAACCTACAAATAATATTTCTAATTTCAAGGTACCAAATAATGTTAATGAATCGTAATATCATTTTACCTGGCATGTCCGATGTGAGCGGAATCATATACTGTGGGCCCGCACATGTACCAAGTGATAATGTTTTTGTTATTCAAAATCAACGGTACTTTACATTTTATTTTACTGTTGTAGACATAAATATTAGTTTTGAAACCCTGTGGTTCAATCCATTTTAACCTTTTTGGCTTATCCACGTGTAAATTCAACAGACGTTTGACGAATGACAGATCCTTGCGTTTAGAAAAAATCGTCCGGCAAATCATTGTTTATTTAATATTTACAGATGAAAGGTTTTTCGGAGTTCAATTTTCATTGTTAAACCTTTGACTATATAAACTTAGATGCACTTATATGTGATGCATTTAGATGCGAAAAAGAGAAGGATAAACAGGATTCTTGACATCGCAGTGCCCTCTGGCAGTACCAACCTTACATTATATACATACATATGTATATACTTCATACTAAAATGGCGTTATCCGGAGAGGAGATACGTTCAGGAGACACGTCCAGACACGTTCACGCGCCGCGAGCGTCGCGTAGCAACTGGTTTTAGAAGCTTCTCTCGAATTCCTCTGTCGACATCAACCACTCACTTAGTAAACAACATTTAATCGTTATACCATCGAAAGTTTTCCAAAAGCACTCGCGACCATCTGGCGGTAAATTCAGTCAGACCCCGTCCTACCTTTGTTTCGTCCTTTGCCAGTCGCAGATATACAAAATAATAACTCTTACATTCAAAACAAAGCCTCCACTTACTAAATGGTATTGTACTTTCCAGAATGCCAATCTTCAAGAGAGGGTCAACGTGTCCGCAATTTTAACTCTAAACTCCGAATATTATTAATATGTTTCTGTATTTCATATGTGTAATTACATGGGAATTACAATGTTTATATTAAGCCTATTGGGTCTTATTACAATCGGTGTCTCCTTACAATTAAAATGTAGTCATTATGTCGTTTCATTGCAAGTACCTGTCGTGGTAGGGTGCGTATAATTTTGTGCTACAGTCCCGAGTGCCACGTTCAAGTTGTCCCCTCTAGCACGGTACCTACATGGGTTACGTGTCGCAAGAATGAAATCGTGGGATTCCCTGGTGGGTGCAACTCGGACGCAGCATTCGTAATTACATATTTTGACGATTGAATTTACTCTGGCCGCAACGGCGGTATCGCGCTCTCTTTTTCTTCCCGTCGTTTGACTCGAATTCGTGACGCGATCGGCGATGGTTTACGTTGTGCGAGGTCTAAGCGCGATACACGTGGCCGGTCGGTAAACCAGTCGGTCAAATAACAAAGGCTGTTTTTAACGGCAACGAGTTAACCGACGTTCGTGCGTTCGTCATCTATGCGACGTCGGATCGTAATAAAGACCATTGTCGTCTAGTCACCCCGTGAACCAAAACTGCTCAAAGAGCCCTCTACGCCCTGACTGGATTTTCTTCGGTCGTCACTCGCGATTTCTACTTTCTCCAGGAAAGATTGATAACGAGTGATTTCTCTTTCGACCGTCGCCACGATTCGATGCCGATGACTTGAGTATCGAGTAATAACGATAACGGTACACGTACGAAGTCCAGCATGTCGAGGGTGCGACAAGATCATCCCGAGGACGTGACGACGGCGGCGTCCCGTCTCCCTGACGACGACGACGCTCGCGAGCATAACAAATCAACGCGGAAACATGAACTAGGCTGATAATACGTCCTCTCTGTTGCATAAGTAAAATATCCTTGTATCACAACGATTGTCCTCGGTTGCAGTGCCAGGTCCAGCAGGAATAAAGGGACCCACTAGTCCCAGTCACCAACGAACCACCGGATGAATTTTCATTCCGATGGAAATGTGGATACGAACATTCGGAAAAACAGGCAAGAGGGGCGTTTATATGGAGAAATGCCTGGACCAAACACTGCTCGGACGACGAAGAGGCCTCGCCACCTTGGAAGGAACCTTGGCTCTTGGTTCCTGCGCTGCGAAGCTTCGAGAATTTTAATTGTTTAACGGGAATATTAAAACTACTAAAAATACTAGCAGGGTATATCGTGTGTCTGGTTGTGTAAATAGGGATGGAACGACGGCCGGGTCCAGGAGGATCGGCCTGTTCTTCTCGATGGATGTTTCTTCCCAAACGACGGAGCCTCTTCGTCATGGAACACCTCATGGAGAGGACACCTCTTCTCGAACCGCCAGAAAGCATTTTATATTGCGGAATCGCGTGTCGCTCGAACGGCGATCGGTGCAGACGTAAAGGGGGCCTAGGTAGAAATGAGTCCGAAGCGAAGGATACGGAACTTGTCGGTAGCGTCAAAAACCTAACGTGCTTTGGAGTGTTTCTTTGGTATTTTGTGTATCTAGTCAACGGATACGTCGAAAAGACGCTCGTTGGGTTTTTGCGTTCAACGGTTCGGTCTTAGGTTGGGCTCGTGTGCTGAACTAAGACGAAGGGGACGTCGACCAGCTTCCACGTGGGAGCTGGTGGACGTGGTTAGGGTCTCGAGGGTCTTGCATGGATTTGGCCGGTCGTCGGTCGTCTAACGTCGTAAGCGCGAACAATCCGTCGAGATGGTCGGATGGTACTTTTAGGCCCTACCGTTCTAAGCGATGACGATATCGTTGAAGCATCTCGTTAGAAGTCACTGTCGCGGAGTGGAAGCTGAGGCGTGTCTAAGTCGCGTTAATCGTCGGTCGGTAAGACTCTATGAGACTCTACGAATCCTCCTCCGTGTGTAGGGTACCATACGCTAGAGACTAGAGAAAGAGTGGATACAGAGACTGTAGTTTTCCGTAGACTTTACAACGATTAATGGGCCCAGCGGTCCTCGAGTGCCGACACGATCTCGGGCTCCTTCGCATCGAGCTCTCGGAGCTCTATGTTCATGATTTTTCTGAAAATCAATCGTCGATCTCTTCGAAGGAGGCGCGAAGGTCCGTCCTCGGCGCTCGAGGGCGTCGCGCGCTGGATCGCTAAAACTGGCGATAGACTAATTTTTCCTATAATAGACGGCGCGTATAAGACTTGAATCGAGCACTAAGATAGATGAGTAAAGGTTTTGAAGGTGCGAGCGAAGGGGTAAGTCCGCGTCATCCTCGAGGACTAAGGGAGGAGCTTCGGGAGATGTTACATCCGTGCAAACGTGTGGTGGGGGCGCCATGTTGGAACAGCCGACGTTGGGGCTCCATTCTTGGAATCGATTTTGAACCTTTCAATAATTATTCAGGGTCTCCTTTGTTATTTCGGTGTGGATGGTCTGCACGCGGATACAGATATGTCCCCGAAGAGTTGGAAAAATAAAAATAAAAAATTGATTACGTCACATGAATGGAATACGAGATCGAGTTTGGAGTCCCCAACGTCTAGAGTGCGAGAAAGCAGGGCGAAGGGAGGACAGGTGAGGCGGAGATGCGATGATTGACAATATACAGGGGCGAAGGAAGGGGAAATCGAAAATAATTCGCGAGCAACATTAACGAAGACGATCTTAACACGTTGTCCAGCGTTGCGTCCAGCGAGTGTCTCGATAATTCTCTCTTTTTTTTTTTTTCTTTTCGTTCATCTTTGGCACATCCGCGGATGTCGATTCAGGACTCGAAATTGCTCTCTGATGATCAATTTAGACGACGCGCGACGACTCGCCCTCGCCGGTCAAAATGGCCGTCGAGTCGCCTTGCGTCTCTCCTTCGTGACACCCAATCGGCCCGATCAGCTGTCAAGTGTCAACGGGCTCTCGCAATCGCTACCCTACGATCGGCCTACGTAACTCGTCACTCTAGTGAACATTAATCGATACATTCAACTCGCCTTACGTATATACAAGTCGTAAGTACACGCTTAAAAAATAAACGGTAGTAAATCTATGTAAAGGTCAGCTGTCGCTTTCCGATCGGCTCGATTCCTTTCCCATTTCTGCTATTTTTTTTTTTGTTTCGGTGCGACGAGTCGATGTCAGCTCCTCGACTCGTTTGCGCGATCCCCTCGAATGGCGCGTTTTCGAAGGTGTTCCATCCTTGCTTCGTCTTCTCTCTCTATTTTTTCCCCTTTAACGCGTCGGGCCTCTGTACACTTTCTACCGTTGCCTTTGCCCTGCCCTGCGAAATCCCTCGCTCCCCGTTAACATTCGTAACGATTAATCGTTAATTTTCGGCACCGCATCCGTGAACTCGGGCGCGTAAACGTCGCGACTTTTAACACGGCAGGCCACTCGTTCTACGATCTACTTATGCGTCGCCTTAACGTTTAAGTCTCTCTCTAAGTCGTATGAAAAATTACGCGTTAATATTGTTATCATTATCTTTTAATCGAGCTTCTTCTCCTCGCCGCATTTTTAAAATCTTACAGATTAGATCTCTCTAGGTCTCACGCAATTTTTACGTAAAAATACAAAAGTGATTATCGTAATTCCCCGTGTCAATTGTTTCGAACGTGTTCAATAATAATACGGTTGTAGGTAGGTACTTTACAAGGGCGCGCGTACGCACAGGGACGGCTCGGTTCCGTCGAGTTGGCCAAGGATCGGGAACAGAGAATTTGCTTCGATCGCCTGCGATCTTTCGCAATGAAATCATCCTCGAGGTTAAGGAAACGTGCAAAAGGCTGCGGAGGATGTGCCACGACTGATCGGTGGGTGTCGATTAAAAGTCTCGCGGTTAGGAGAAAAGAGATATGTTATCTGCGGCTTAGGAAAGAACCCTCGCTAGCGAGTGAGAAATGCGGTGCAAAGTGGGAGACATCTTTCAAATCAATGTTTCCTCGGGTTTACTTCGTTTCACTCTACCTGTGCAGCTTAGTCCTGGACCAATTGTTCTGTAACCGAGCCGTCCCTTAAAACCCGCGAGCCATCTTAAGGCAGAAGCATCCGGAATTGATTTACCAGACTAGCGAGGATGTAAACGAAGAGTTGGCAATTCTTTTAATTTTTATCCAGCAGGAGGATTATAAATAGTGTACAATTTGATAGGGAATAAATTTTAAGAAATGGTTCACAGTAGTTAATATGGGTATGCTGGGTCAGGCATTGCAGTTTCGTCAAATCCTTCCTGTCTTAGAAAATTATTTAATTACGTTGGAACTTTCGGTTGTCGAATCACGGGTGGAAAATTTTCACTAGTTTCTTGGAACGTAAAAAATCCATCCCCGCTGTCTGGTAAGGTTCTTTCGGAAATTTAGCTGCCCAATCTCGTGTGAGGACGAAACGAGGTCTAGTGCAAAATATATTCTTCGTTCGGTAATTCGGAGTGGCGAATTACCGCGTCGTAATGACTCGCCTTGCGGTGCGGTGCTCGCGCATAACTCGTGTACAGGCGTAGAA